CTAGGAATCATTAAGGTTGGAAAGGACCTCTAAGATCACCACTCCAACCGCCAATCCAACACCACCATGCCTACTAAACTGTGTCCCAAAGTGCCACGTCTACACGTTTTTTGAAAACAAAATACATTATTTCATTTCCCTGGGTTTTACTGCTTTTACTGACTGGCTTTTATATGGCACTTCTTAGCTGTAGATCAATGCCAGCTTTGCTTTAGGTAAGGCAAAACTGAGTGCCAGGTGGGCTTGGCACATAGAAATAGAGATTACCGTGAATGCGGGCATGGAAATCAACTGAGATTGCACACAGTCGCATGCCACCTTGCACTTAGACTAAAGCATTTGCTTTTCTAGCTCTGCAAACCACCCCTGGGAGTGTGGTTGCTAGCAGTGACAGAAGGTACAAAACTATTTTTGAGGCTATCAGATGAGCCCATCTGATCTGCATTACATCAGACTTTTGTGCTTGGGGCAAAAACTGGGCACTTACAAGTTACTGAAAGTCCTCTTTTGGCTTCAATACTGCGGTGATCAGGGCCACAGAGGTGACAAATCTGTCCCACCTACCTGGTGTTTAGAAAACTCTGATACAGCCACATAAAGCAAAGTTCCTCATGGCTGTTTTCTTCCTCTCTCCCCTCCACATCTGTATTGACTGGGCCTGGAGAGCTGGTTTAGATAAAGAAAATTAATAATAATTAAAAAAAACCCCAAAACAGTGTAACCACCACAGCTGCAAAGCAGCACCGCTGTCTGGAAGGCAGGTTCACCCCCCCACCGACCTGCCCCATGGTCCATGCTCTGTTAACCTGCCAACTGTCGCCGTAGCTGTGCAGGAAGAAAGAGAAGCACCCTCTTCAAATGAGGCTCAGATGCTTTCTGGCTGGCAAAGGGACAGGTTTTAATATGGACTTGCACTCTGCCTCATTACCCAGTACTGGCATGTCCTTCCACCCATGGATATATACCTTTTTCCAGCATTTAGAAATTAAAAATGTACTGCATCTCCCAGGATTTTCTGTTAGTGGTGCACGTCCCAGAAAATATCAAAGCACCCTGAACAGATGGGAAGGAATCAATGTGCTGTGCCTCTGCCTTGAAGAAGGGACCAAGCTTGAAGGAAACCTCTCCAGGCAATGTTGTCCCTTCATAACACACCAGTGGCAAGGGCAGCAGCAGTTGTGAGTTGTATCACAGCGCGTCACGTATTGTAACTGATGATGTGCTCATATATGTGGCTTCAGTGGGAGCTAGTGGCCTTGTATTTTGGCTGGATGAAAGACCCCATATTGGCCATATATATGATTATGGCTAAAGCCTGCCCAGTTTGGCAGTCAGAGCCACAGGTGGGGACCATGAAATCCAGAGGTCTTCCTCATTCTGTTACAGAGCCCATTTATCTGCAAAAAGTTTGTCAGGTGCTTTATTTGAAGTAGGTAAATCACCTACAACTTTCCCCAAAAGGCTAAACCAAAATGCAAACAAAAAAATCCCAGGCTGTGCTCTGATGTAAAGTTTTGTGTCCTGTGGATTAAGCTTGATATGCATGTGCAATAGATAATGTTGGTTTATGCTTAGAAATGGCCTCAGTGAGAAGGTTTGCGTCCTGCTCTGCCTGCTGTGACAGGCAGGGCAGGCTGATGGGATGTCTCTGCTATTGCACAGCAGCTCCAGGCACAGCCTAGGGGGAGGAGACCAAGCCCCAGCCCGCTTGCCTTTGTCTTGAGTTTTCCAAACCACTGGTCATGCATTCCAAACCACCCCCCTTTCCTTGGAGCTCAGACCTGCCTCCCTGCAGCCTGCATGGCCCAGGCTGCCTTCCCATTCCCCAAGAAGCAGAGCTCTTACCTGCGCTTGTGGCCTATGAGATTTTGAATGAATTTCTGAACCTGAGCCTTTCCTCTCATCTTGCTGTATTCACTGGTAAACAGACCATCTGAGTGCCTCTGGGACCTGCGTGAGGGAACATACGGTACAATGGCTGCTCATCCCAGCCATGTGATGTGGAACGCATCACAAGAATCACAAGATAGAAATTTCTTTCTTCCCACCACCAAGGAGCCCCATATCCCTCCCCTTCTCCTCTTCTGCCTCCTTTCATCTTGGGCATCTTCTGGATGAGGCCAGTGCTCAGGCTGGCTCTGGAGCCGGAGACACCTCAGCGCCATGGGCATCCCCTTCATTGCTGGGATCCCATCTCCTGCTGGAGACTTCCACGCCCCAGGAGGGTGGTTTTGGCAGGTCCTTACCTCTCCTTGAGGCCTACCAGGTGCTTGACTAGCTGCTGCACGTAGGCATTGCCATTCATCTTGCTGAGCTCACTGTGGAAGAGCCCATCAGCATGTCTCTCAGTCCTGGGAGGTTTGAAGAGAAGAGAGAGGTGGAAAGGCATGGTTTTAAGACCAGAGAATAACGGGCATTTAAAACTGTTCCCTCAAGGAAAGAGGGTCCCAAACAAAGACGGGCAAGAATTTGTGCCAATTTGGCAAAGTTTCACCAAAAAAAGGCAAATCTTGTAGGAGTTTAAAAGAAATATCTTTGTTATCCATCACACAGAAAAACTACCTGCACTTGCTTCTTACTAATGTAATCACCTTACCATAAGGATATGGGAATGTGAGGTTAACACAGATTCAGCACAGAAGAGTAGGACAAGAGACTGGAGAAGTAATAAATTAATTAAACACCCAGGTACACAAACCTTGAGGAACAGGCAGATATTGGTGGCAGTACCAAAGCCCAGCACTCACAGGTGACTGCTTGACAAGCCATTAAAAGAAGTGCTCAAAGCCTCAGTGAGGTTCAACCAGAGCTATTAAACTTCAAACCAGACTAGCCAGTGGGTAGGATAAAAGGTCTGGGGTCCAGCTTCTGGAGGGACTCTGTGTGTCTGTCTGTCTGTCTGTCTGTCTATGCCAGTACAGTGCTAAGGAAGCCAGGCCGGGCACTGGTTGTGGCCATGGAAGGGCTGCAAGGGACTCTCAGATCTGTCCTCTTCCAGCATAAATCCTTTAGTCTCTCTGTGCTTTAATTGCCCCTGCACACGTGGGAGAAGAGACAACCATGACGAAGTCTCACACACAAGATTGTGAACTGGTGAACTTACAAGATTAACTATTTGTGGTTATATTTTCATGAGACTAGGTTATTTGAAACTGAAGCTTCCACCTCTATCAGCCTGTATAAGTACGTAGGGGGAAAACAGACTCAAGAGTGTCCTTTTTACCGTACTCAAGAGTGTCTTTTTTACCGTAGTTTGATGTTTTTGGGGTCCTGATTTTTCTCCTGAATTAAATCAAGTCAATGTTTCCACTCTTAAGCAAGAAAAAATATTTACAACATTTGCACTCATTTAACTAAATAAATTTAGGGAAGAAAAAAAATCCAACAGCCAAGCAGCTGCAAGTTCTGGAAGGGAGATAAAAGGCTGACTTTATAGCTAGCAGGCTTTTTGAACAAAAAGCCATGGAGAAAAAGGAAGCAGAGGCACAAGAAATGCTTACCTCTCCCGGGATGGAAGAGATGCAGAGAAGTGTGATAGAACAATCATGGGAATAATTAGTTGCCACAGACCAGTCATCAAGGAAACCATGTTCTCTCCTGAATTAAAGCACAAGGTTTTACGAGCAGCAGAACAAATGACCTTGGTCTTTGTCTGGTACAGTTCACACGCTACACAGAAGACATTGCTATATAAATAACACCACTACAACGAAATTAGACAGAAATTCCTCTCAGCAAAGATAATATTTCTTTCAAATACAGAAGATGAACAATTCAAATCATTCATGTCGCCGGTTAGTTGGAAGTTGTTTGTAGTCATTATCCCACCATCCATGCAGTCCTGGAGCACGGGTCTGAGGTTGGCTGTGTGAGACGATGTTTGTGCTGGAGTTTTGCTGTGAGTCAGGATAATATGCCTTGAATATGCAGGGAGGTATCATGTGAGTTAATCCATCAGCGTCACAACACCATGGATTAAACCCCATTCTTCTATAAATCTCTGAGAGCTGAGCCTTCAGGGGGAGGATTTAAAGCACCCATGAAAACATCCCCCACGGACACCTATTAGTATACCTAGAGGATGCCCAGGAGAAATCTGTTTGGGTTTTTTCAGACAAAAAAAATGTCATGTACCAAATAAAAGCTCATCTATACACAGGGGAAGAGAAGGGCTCTTGTGTGTGCCCATATCTGCCTATTCTCTAATCTTTCAAGAAGGAAAAAAAGAATAACACACATCGTCAGTAGCAGCAGAACTTCATATTTTGTTTTCTTACTAAAATAAAAAGAAAAGAAAAGCACATTTTGTTTATCACAAGCCATTGCATGTTTTTTCCTTTTATTTCCAGGCTCTTTTTGCAGCCCTATGCCTGCAAAGATGCGTATGCGCCTTTACAAGAAGGTGCTCACGTTTCCCCAAGGATTACACAGGAGCCATATCTGTAATTTATAATATACCTGCCTTCTTCCTGCAAAGAAGCAAACCTTGCTTTCTTAGTTGCTATCCTGGAAACTTGCAAACCCAAAATCAAAGTCCTCCCACTTTGGTTTTATTTTAGTCTGAAACTAGACAGTACAAAGAGCATTAAAGGACTGTCAGTGTTTCCTGAACACTTTCTAGCAGCCCTTCTGGGACTGCTTGCTACTCTAGAGATACTGCAAGATGAGGAGAGGCAAGAGGAGGAAGGGCAAGAGTGGGGGATTTATACAGAAATGTATTCACTGTAAGACACTGCACAAATATTTAATGGGGGTTGCAGAGCTGACAGGTGAGAGGTTTTGCATGGTTAAGGAGCCATAAGTTTCATCTTACACACACTTCTGATGCTTTAGTGTCGTGTTTTCCTGCCTGAACTGGCTTTAAGAGGGATGGAATAAGTAAAACAAGTAGGACATTTCAAAGATCAGTTTCTTATTGGAGGCCAAACAAAACAGACTCCACAGTACTGCTTTGCAGCCGAGGGACAGGAAAGAGCTGAAAACAGCCACCAAAACCAGAGCACACCACCCTTCAGGGAAGGGAAACCTGGATCCTGAGTCTGTCCTTCAGTCTGTACAATACCTGCCACACAATGCTGGGACCCCCAGCCTGGATCCCACCACAGAATTTTGGCCTTCCCTGTGCCAACCCTGGGCTGGCATTTGTCTTGGAGCACCACATTTAAGAACCCATTCTAAACCCCATCCCTAGCTCCAGATTTTACCCTCTCTTCATAACCTTTCTAGTTACTAATCAAATGGATTGACTTGTCTTTTCCCTTTCTGGCGATAATTTTGTCTTCCCTGTGCAGATCATATTTGTTTGCTGAAGTTGCTAGGAACAGTAATGGCTGTTAGGGAACTTCTCCTGTGTATAAATAATGATGTATTGCATTGGTTTTTTAATCAGTCAGGCCCCAGGGAGGAGGCAGGTCTTCAGTGTGATCACAGTAGAGTTGTTTAACCTTCTTAAGATACCTCCGAGCTTTTTACTGTCTTCCCCAGAGATGCTGGCTTTCAATAAATGCAAACTCCTTAGCTAGCTGGGACCTTTAGCTGAATGAAGTGTGCACCAAGCCAGCCCAGGACCTGGGAGCGTCTCAGATCCTTCCAGCAGACAAATCCTACTGCTGAAATGTCTGATTGCACCCAAAGGCTCTGCTGAATCAAGGCTCCCATCACCCTGCAGGAGCACTACCGCTAGAAGAGCTTCCAAAAAGGCTGGTACACAGCCAGTTTGCACACCTTCTTGCTCCTGCCTATCCATTGTGCTCTACCTAAAACTAAAGACTGTGTATTTCTGGAAGCTATCTGGTCCAGCTGCTGTTTGCGGTCCGTTCTTTCCTCTGGTTGCTCCAGAGGAGGAAAACCCCACATATGACCAGCACTGCTGTTCAGGAGATGGATGGCCTCATGGCAATGGCTCAGCAAAGCATCACAGAGGCCTGAAATCCACCACCCAAAAATTGAAATAAGAGAAAAGGCAGCCCATCCAGCTTGACCATGTCAGCACAGCGGTACTCACCAAACTGTGGTCACTCCGGGCTCTCCGCTGTCTCACAGCTACGATGCACCACTGGCCCACTCTTCTCCGTGGCCCCCTATAAATCTGCAGCCCTTATCAGAAGCAATTATTTAGGTAAATATATGAATATGAGTAATCATGATTAACAGCAAATAATGCATCCAGGCTGGAATGGCCTTTTAATTACTCTCTAAACCTGATCAGGTCATTTGCAGCAGTTTGATGGACTGTATTTCTGCTGATGTGTAATAATTCCTGCTTCTGTGTATAATGACAGTAATTTGTTGGACAAACATCCTTGTACCGATTGATTCATTGTGATTGACATCATTATCTCTTCTTCTGGCTTTAATTACCTCTTGATAGGAGTTTAATCTTCTGTTCTTTTTTAATCCTGGCTTGGGTTTCGTTTGCAATGCCAGGAAGAGTCAATGAGTGTATGTGTGTACCTGCGATTTGGCTAAACAACATGTCACTTTTTTAGGGCAAACATTGTGTGATGAGTAGAACGACGGCTGACTTTTGCATGAAGGGACAATACTTTTCAAGCTGTGGTTTCACAGTCATGCCTGGGAAAGGTCTGCTGAAAATAGACTGTATCACAGCTTCAAAGAAAGAAGCATACTTATATATGCACAGAAAACATCCTGAATATATTCCCTGCCTTTGCTGGGGTTTCGAGCTGGTTGCTCTCAAAAGGTGATATGGAAATGGAGAAAATAGGATTACGTCCTTTCTCTCCTTCTTTATGTTGTATAAAGTAGCTTGGAAGGATTAATCGTTATAAATAAATCTTATTATCTTCCAACTGGAGAAATAGGAGCTATATTACACTTTTTCTTGTCTACTTATCTTTTTTTCTTTGGAAAAGCAAAGGGCATCCCCATGACTAGAGGGCTGCAGGGGCCTGATTCTCCCCATCATCTTTCCCTTGGAAGAATAACCCACACACTGATTAGCAGCAAGCCTCAGCACTACTGCATGTGACTGCAGGCTGCTGCCGGACCCCTGCAAAAGGGAGCAGGAGAAACAGCAGTGAAAAGTCTCCCCATTCCAGGACAGGAGGACTGAGAGGTGCCATGGCCAGCGCTTGGACAGAGGAGCCCATTTTCTCTGCTGAGACAGTGCAGGACATCCCTGCACATGTCCAGGCATTTCCCAACCATTTTCCTCTCCTTTCTGTAACGACTGCTTTCTTCAGCTGCGTTAGTGCTGTCATTCCTCCTGCAGCCCTCCCACCATCGCTCTGACACAACTTTCTGTAGTGTTACGGCCTCACTCAATGCATTTCCTCTCTGTACAACCAGGTGAAGATGCATTGTGAGTCACATCCTTCACCCATGGCAGCTGAAAGGTCTCCTGAGCACCCAGCCCTGCTTTGGGAGCCCCCAGTGACATTAGTGACATCTGCAATTCTTGTATTTTTGTTCTTTGCATTTAAATCTTCACTTCGGGATATGGTTTAGTCTGGTCTACCCTTGATTAGTCTAGAGTGGGCTTGGTAGTGTAGGTTAATGGTTGGACTGGATGATCTTAAAGGTCTTTTCCAACCTAGATGATTCTATGATTCTATGATTCTATATTTTCTGTATTAATATATTATGTCTGCATTGGTGGTGGCTGGCTTCAACTTGGGCTCATGGTGTTGCCAAACATCTACAACTGAGAAAGACCATGTAGGAACAAGGCAAGGAGGAAAAAAGTTTCTAAAAAAAAAAAGGGGTAAACAACATATAAGAAGCTAAAAATGACTGATGTGATTTCCTTTCCTTTGCAAATAACCTCAATGGGTCTGAAATGCCCTCAAGCTCTTGGGGGAACACAGTTTGCTACGGGAATCTAAATGGGTCTACATAAGCGGCACACAGGAGAGGTTGCAATGACAACGTGGCCCCGTGATGGCAGCAGAGGGTGAGTAACAGGAGAGTAAAAGCTGCTGGGGACTGGAAGAACATGAACTAAGTAACCGGCTTTATCTGCTTTGCAACAAAAATTAGGTTCCGCCTTGCAGCAACAGTGGCGGGGAGTGAAAAGGTGATGGGACAGAAAAGCGTGTGGCCATGCCCAGCACTGCTGCAACATAACGCAGGTGACAACCACGGGCTTGAGCTTAAATGCAGGTCCTGAGGCCCCTGATGAGGAAATTCAGGACCATGCAAGGAAACTCAAGAGCTTTTGCAAGCTGCAATTTACACCTGAACAGACTGGAGCCCAAACCAAATCCCCAGTCCCGAAGCAATATCTGATTCTCCTTTAACCAGAATTAACATTAAACTCCCATCAGGAGACATTATGGAAACAGGAGTGATAAACAATACTGCTTAGCAGTATCAGCTGAATGGAGCTTCGTGAATTTGCACCTTGCTTTTCCCATTCTCCATTTGTGTGAGCATTCAAAGTGAGAGTGGAGATTCCCCTTGCCTGCATCCAGCAGGAACAATGCGTGATTAAATCATCCATTAACCACTGTAATCTAGCCCATCATCTCTGTGCAGCATCACTGCAGAGAAAAGCTCCCCATCATTGACTCCAAGAATGACAAAGAAAAAGGAAATTATTGCCCTCGTCTGATCCCTGCTCCTTGCACA